CATAAAATCAGTTTATTCACAATTATAATTCTGACTGTATAGTGCCCTAAATACTGTATACCTTTATCAGTTTTATATTTTTGTCAAGTAATTTAATATTCATTTGTCACTATCCCATTTTGACATTATGTAAATATTTTTTATATTCTTTAAACGGCTATTAAAAAGTGACCTGGTGTAACATCAATATATCAAGCAAGTATTTATATTTTTCTAGGTTTGGGAAAATTGTTTTTATTTTAACAGTGGTTATTATAATTATCCCTAGTTCTAAAATAGGAAAATATAGATCCAGAATGTTTTGGTTACTATTATTTTATATTTGCCAGCAAGAAAAACTAAAGCTCAAATAAGTCATATCTTCAGCCCAATCTCACTCATGTAGTTAGTGGTACAGTTGTGATTTGAATACAAACAGAAATATATGGAAAGGCTAAACAGAAGGTTATATTACAAAATTATATCCTTATGTGTTTGCTCAGCTTGATCTGAAACAAATTCCCTTTGGTCATATAACCTTTGCATGTAACAATCTCATTGAAAATTCTGAGACACATATTGTTCGAACTAGCCAGACACGTGACTTCATGGTGGGCTCCTGGCACTAGAAATTTCTTTCCTTACTGATGTGAATTACCCATTACGGGGAAGGAAATCTTATTCATTAGGGAAGCAATTCTTTAAAAATTAATAGAAGGCTTTTTCCTATTATGAAAGCGTTACGTGTTGGCACAAAGAACAGATGGCAGTAGAACAGAGATCGTTTGTACATGGTGAACTGGATGTAAATTAGTGCAACTACTATGGAAAAGATTTTCTTCAGAAAATTAACACTAAAACTACCATATAATCCAGTAGTCTCCCTGCTGGATCTACATTCCAGAAATAAGAATTTTTCTGTCAGATACATCTACATTTCCATATGTATTACAGCACTACTGATAATAACCAATAAAATGAAAAGCTAAGTGTCCATTAGCTGATTCATAAAGAAAATCTGTGATATATACACAATGGTATATTATTTAGCCTTTAAAAATGATAATACCTTGTAATTTGCAACAACACAGATGGCAGTGGAAGTCATAATATTAAATCAAATACATGAAATAAGCCAAGCATTGAAAGACAAGTACTGTGTAATCTCACATGTGAACTAGAAAAAAAAGTGACCTCATAGAAGTGGGTATGAGAGGGTAGCAAGGGTAGGTGCGAGAGTGCCCTGCAAAGAGATCATTAGTGGACACTAAGCAATAGATGGGAATAAGAAATGCTTACATGTAATTATAATGTGATGTATATTTCTCTTAAAACTAAAAAATGGGTTACGAATGCTTTTATCATTAAAAAAGTTAAATGTTTGAGGAAATAAATGTATTGAACACTACACAATGTTTACATGTATGGAAACAACAACTGGAGCCACCAAAATATACACAAATTTTACATGTCAGTTAAAAATAGCTATTTTAATTTTGAAAAATAACTTTCTCAAAACATAAGTGAAAAGACTAAAAACCAGTAACATAAAGGATGTTCATACTTAGCAAAATTTTAAGGTATTTTATATTTAAGCAAAAATCATAATTTGAAAATCAAGATAAATTATTGACTTGGAGAAAATATTTAAAGCCCATATGAAAGACAAGTGGCTAACAATCCTTCTATACAAATAAGTGCTACCTGCAAGGCTGGGTCTAGATGTTGGCCAGCTTGGGCTGGGCTGCAACCAGAGACAGATCTGGGGACCAACTCAGTAGTGGCTCCTAGGTGTTAGCCTAATGGGTCTACTCCATCAACTGTCAACTTTAGGGAACACATTGGAGCACATGTTGGGGGGGGGGCAAGGGTGCCCCTGCTGCTGACTTGGATAAACTAACAACATACTGGGATGCTCATGAAGACGGGTCTGTTTCAACAGAGGACCTTGAGTGCCTCTGGGGAAGATGGGAGGCAGAGCAGGCTGAGCAACGCTACAGGCCAAATTCTCTACCAAGCATCTTAGTCTATGGACGTACCGGAACAGTCATAGGCAGCTGGCAAGTATGGGAAGTGGCATCTCACACCTGGCGCAAAGAAGCCCGTACTATGTCAGAACAGTTGGAGACTACTCAAGTAACAGCCTCAGGACGTTCTTCCCCCATCAGGGCCCCTGGGATGAAACCAGGGGACCATCTGTGTCCCCCAATGCTGACATAATCCCTGACTGTCAGTCACAGCAAGGAGGATGGGGTCTTTTCCCTAGCCCTTCGTCAACCCCTGTCCATCCCTTCCCAGCCCTTCCAGAGACCTGCATGACCCTGCAACCTCCTCACCCATGCAACAAACAACTAAAAACAAGTACATTTAAATTTTTGAAAGAAGTGCTACAAATGAGAAATGCAGAACACATTTGCCCATTGAAACTCATGAAAATTATTTTTAAAAATAATCATTTAAACACTCTGAAAGTGGTCCTGATGATAAACAACAAATCAAATCATTAAGATTTGATTTTTAAAAAGGCAGGAAAGTGTGATGTTTGAAATAAGACTACTGTCACCCCTAACCCTAATTCTACCCTCTCTTTCCTCTTAACTGTCAACTTTTCTCAACCTAACTACATGTTACTGAGGCTGAATCCCAGATGATTGAGCAAGGGGCGTTTCCTCTTTCCATTCAACCCTCACTCATGGGACGAAGGCTCTACCTTAGGCATAGCATGCTGAGGAGGACCCTAATAAGTCTTTCCCTTGCTCATGAGATTGTAGTTTCACCTCTAGTTCATGCCCTACTCTGATTGCTCAACCCTGGTACAGGGACTTCACTCAGAGAGAGAGAGATGCTTGCCATTATTTTCAACCCAAGCTCCAGAACCCTGGCCCAGATCTTTACCTTGAGAGAGAACATAGCCACAGAGAAGATACCTCCTAACCTTTTCCAAGTGAGCTTGATCTCATTCACAACAAAATGGAGAAACCAAAATCAAAGGGCACACACAAGAACAGTGGAGATTGTAGTAAAATGCACTGCAGAAGATAATCATGGGTTTAATGACAATGCAGTCTAGACTAGGCACTTGGCAGAACAGAATCAGAAATAAGACAGCTGAGTGGAGACCTCTTAGGGTCAGAACAACAAGAATGAAGCTCAAAAACTATTTTTCAAAGGAACTTCAATTTGATTTCTTGATTGCATTGAATTTTACAGTTTGCACCACCAGTGATTTATTAAAAACAAAAACAAAACAGTAACCAGCAAAGCCTAACAGAAGGTTTTAATCAGGAAAAAGGAGAGTTCTACCAATACCATTGTCATTTCACATTAATGAACAACATCAGCAACTTAACAAGCTCCAAAATAAACATTGTCAATGTCTTCATATAACTAAAGGAAAGCTGAAAAACAGGAAAAAATAAAAACAAGGATGAAAAGTAAGCAGAACCAAAAAAAAAAAAAAAAAGGTAGGACAGTACCAAGTGCACCAACATTTGTAAAATGGGGGTGACCGAAAGAAAGAACCAAAAACAAAAACAAAAAACAATTTAAAGAGATAATGGGGCCCGGTGTGATAGCGTAGTGGTTAAAGTCGTTGCCTTAAACGTGCCACAATCCCATGTGGGTGTCAGTTCTAATCCCAGTGGCTCCACTTCCCATCCAGGTCCCTGCTTGTGGTCTAGGAATGCAGTCGAGAACAGCCCAATGCTTTGGGACCCTGCACCCTTGTGGGAGACCCGAAGGAAGCTCCTGGCTCCTGGCTTCAGATTGGCTCAGCACCGGCCATTGCGGTCACTTGGGTCACTTGTGGAGTGAACTATCGGATGGAAGAGAACAGAAGTCTCTCCCCCTCTCTGTATATCTGCCTTTCCAATAAAAATAAATGAATCTTTTAAGAAGAGAGAGATAATGGTGGAAAACTTTTAAAATATTTATTTATGTGAGGTTTTTTTTTTTAAATTATTATTTGAATGGCAGATTCACAGAGAAAAGCAGAGACAGAGATCTTCCATCCATTGACCCCTCCCAAAATGGCCACAATGGCCAGAGCCGAGACAATCTGAAACCAGGAGCCTGAAGCCTCCTCTGGGTCTTCCATGTAGGTGTGGGGGCCCAGGGATCCAAGCCACACTCAGTTGCTTTCCTAGCTCATAATCAGGGAGCTGGATGGGAAGTGGAGTAGCCATAATTCAAACCAGTGCCTATATGGGATACTGGTGTTTGCAGACGGATGATTAGCCTGTTGAGCCATTGAACCAGCCCCAGAAAACTTCTTAAATTTATTTTAAAAAAAACAACAGCCTACACATTCAAGAAAGTCAGTGAACTCCATGTAAGAAAAATACAGAGATCCACAGACATATCATGGAAAACATGTCAAAATTCAAAGACAAAGAAAAATTTTCTTTTAAACTTCTTTATTTTTTATTGGGAAATCAGATTTACAGAGAGAAGGAGAGATGGAGAAAGAAAAGTTTCTTATCCACCCCCCCAAGTGGCCACAACAGGCACAGCTGAGCAGATCCTAAGTCAGGAGCCAGGAGCTTGTTCCGGGTCTCCCACACGGGTGCAGGGTCCCAAGGCTTTGGGCCGTCCTCCACTGCTTTCCCAGGCCACAAGCAGGGAGCTGGATGGGAAGTGAAGAAACTGGGACACAAACCAGGGTCAATATGGGATCGTGGAGCGTGCAAGGCAAAGATTTAGCTGCTGATCCATTGCACTGAGACCTCAAATAATTTTTTTAAAAATACTAAAAATAAGGGAAGAGATTTTTAAAAAAGAAAAAGAGAAGAGAAAAAGAAAAGGTAAGAGGAAAGAGGAGAAACGTGAATAGAAGAGGACAGATGTTAGGAGAGGAGAGGCGGGGAGAGGAAAAGGAACGCAAGAAAATAAAAAGGGAAAAGAATGAAAGAAAAGCAAATGAAAAAGGAAATTGAGGAAAGGAAAGGAAGAGAAAGAAGGATAAGAAAGGGAAAGAAATGGGAAAAATGAGCTGTTCTCAAGGTCGTTTGTGAGTGCGCTCTTCTTAGAGACACTGCGGCAGCACCGGGCGTCGCATCTATACGGGGGATTACAGTAACCCGGTTGTCAGTGATGAGTCAGAGTGCGTGGTGCTGATGCTGCTGCCATTTCATCACCTTTGCAAGCGCAGCATCTATCCCTTTGCTCTCCCGGCGCCTGGGCCTACCTTGCTTCGGACTAGCAGGCCAGCGATGAACTCACAGTTCAGCTAGAACGGGGCCAAGCCGCGCTTTCCGAGGCTTAGGCGGGGTCCTTCCTCCTGCCGCCCCCGACCTGGGCCAAGGAGACCTGCCAAGCTGCGGCCATGGAGGCCATCTGGCTGTACCAGTTCCGGCTCATTGTCATCGGGGATTCCACGGTGGGCAAGTCCTGCTTGATTCGCCGCTTCACCGAGGGTCGCTTTGCCCAGGTTTCGGACCCCACCGTGGGGGTGGATTTTTTCTCCCGTTTGGTGGAGATTGAGCCAGGAAAACGCATCAAGCTCCAGATCTGGGATACTGCGGGTCAAGAGAGGTTCAGGTGGGAGCGCAGACTGGGCCCATCACAATTGGGAGGGTCTTCAGGGCTTGCACAGAGCCGGGAAGCCAGGACTTCCAGGTCCTAGTGGCTACCCGAAACTGGGGATCCGGGGATGGGGGATGCCTGCTGTGAGTTCAGTGTGAGAAAAGAAATTCTGTGGAACACAAGGCCAGTCAATAACCTGCCCCTAGCTGGATTTGAGTCCTGTGCTCCACACCTCAGTCCCTATGTTAGATACTTCCAAAACCGTTCCCAGGGGCACTCCTAAGCTAGCTGGCAGGTGGATACAGAGGTACATACGTGATACACATACCTAGCCAGGTAATACAAAGCAAATGGAGACTAATAAATTGATTCCTGCGTACAACCAGCAGATCTTCAGTGGTCATCTACTAAGTGCTGGATGCTGCACCTGCTTCTGGGGAAGCCACGTGAGGCAACTCGCACAGCAAATTTTTCAAATGCACACAGCCCCTTCACTCCAAATCCTCTTTGTGTGTTTGGGGTAGGGAGATTCATAATCACAAATTACACAAGTCTTGGCGTTTGTAGCTCCTCTCACTGCTGTAACACCTGCTACGTGATGACCAGTGACAATGTTTTTCTTACAGTCCTTTGTGGCATTTGTTATTTGTAATTACACATGCACAAACAGGGAAAGTTAACTGAAGATCAGTGTGACTAACCAAGGAAACACAGAAAACACTTCCGGGGGCAAGCAGAGTTCCCACAGAGAACAATTTGAACTAAACTTACATATAGCAGGAAGAACCAGATTGAGAACTCAATAGTCCATGTTTACGATCATTTATTCATTTATTAATTTATCCATTGACCACTAATTGAGCATAGAATATACTGGTTAGGTAATTGAAGAAGGGTGGGGAAAACAGATAATTCAAGTTGTCTCCAACTGCCAGCTTCTACAGACCATACTGTGGCAAATACTCTTGTATAGGCTCACTCTGAGCTTGCAATCGCATTCTTCATCCATGAAGGCATGTTTATTGGAATTTCTGTATTCACAGCCTATTCAGCCAATGTTTACTATTTATCACACAACATTGATTTGCAAGTTATTTACAGATTAAGAATATTAATTATTTCCTGTCATTTAAGATATTTCTCACTTTGCCCTTTGTATTTTCACTAGGACTTATTTTTATGTGGGAAAGATTCTAAGTTTTATGTAGCCTTATGTTAAGCTTCAAAAGGGTTTTGTCACTTTCTTTGCTAGATATTCACATTCCATTAATGTAATAATACATTCTTACACTTTCGACAGGAACCTACAGCTTATTGACTTTTTGAATCAAGCTTTTTACAAACCAAAACCTTCATCTATATCTAATTTTCTGGTTTACCTATCATTAGCCATGTATCCTCAGAATTCAAGGCCATTTGAAATGTTTTCACTCCCTGAAGCTGATAGACTTGGTTCTGGAGATTAATTTCTTTGGTCTTACAGTCGCCTGGTAAGGACTATACTTTCCTCGGCAATGTTTGTTCTATTAACACTGGACCATTTTCCCTAACCATAAAGTTATTGAGTCCTTCACTATTTCTCTTCTTCAAAGAGAAAGAAAATCCAAAAATAGACATACATAAAAATCACAGTCGTCTAAGGCAAGTTCTACTTCCTCCAAGCGAAGTAGCATGATATATATTGGAAATGAAGCTCTTCAAATCAAGAAGTTAGAATCAGTGAGACTCCCATTTAAGACTTATAGCAAATATATAAGAAATTGTAGAAATATTCTAACTCCCATGATTGAAATCAACCATATCATTTTGGGGGTTAGGGTTTGACTACTCAGGCAGGTTTTCCCAGATGGTGGATCCTGAGTCTGCCTCTCAGAAATATATTCCTGAAACCTTTTACTACCTCTTTTTTCCCCCCATTTCTACATGGCTTGGAAAAGAAAACAAGATTGCCTTTTTCCTCACAGAACATACTAAGGACCCCTGTTTGATTATAAGGGAAAGAGTAAAATATACTAATGCTCAATGGAAAAAGATATTTATACTTTTCATTCATACTATCGTAAGTCCACTTTTATTTTTGACAATTCCTGTTTCATTTACTAGCATGAATAATGGTCTAACCCTTTAGATCACAGAACAATTTCTTTTACCTCATGGTAACCCTGTGACTTATTTTGTAGAAGAGGATGTCTGTCAGTTACTCACATTTAGAGGTAGAGAGTTAGTTGTGGTTGTGTCTGTAGGTAAGAAATTAAAGTGAATCATTTCCGCCTGAAACTCCATAAGTATTCATTTCTACAAGGTGCTATATCAAATGCTTTCCCATGGAAAAGTTGCATATCATAATTACTATAGAATGGCTTTTGTATTTGCTTGGTTTTCTTAAGAACATAACTTTTATTAATAGGCTGTGTCAGTAATAATCAGGAACCCTAAAATATCCTTAGTTCATTGAAGTATAGGAGTTTGGGCATGGCCTTCATTCTTTACTTCTTTCTTGTGTGTTTTAGATCCATCACCCGCGCCTACTACAGGAACTCAGTAGGTGGTCTTCTCTTATTTGACATTACCAACCGCAGGTCCTTCCAGAATGTCCATGAGTGGTTAGAAGAGACTAAAGTACACGTTCAGCCCTACCAAATTGTATTTGTTCTGGTGGGTCACAAGTGTGACCTGGATACTCAGAGGCAAGTGACTCGCCACGAGGCCGAGAAACTGGCTGCTGCATACGGCATGAAGTACATTGAAACGTCAGCCCGAGATGCCATTAATGTGGAGAAAGCCTTCACAGACCTGACAAGAGACATATATGAGCTGGTTAAAAGGGGGGAGATTACAATCCAAGAGGGCTGGGAAGGGGTGAAGAGTGGATTTGTGCCAAACGTGGTTCACTCTTCAGAAGAGGTTGTTAAATCAGAGAGGAGATGTTTGTGCTAGTCAGTCTATTTTATTTCCCAAACATGCTCTCCCAGTTGAACTTACAAAAGCAATCAAAATAAACAGAACCTTTCTGTGATTGAAGAGAACTGAACCTCCATTTGGATATCAAGTAAGCCTCCTTCCCGGGGTGGATGGGCCAGCCTGGGTGCTGTAACAGAGGGAGTGGATTTCTGCTCATGTGCTGGACACAGCCAGGCAGTTTTGTGCCCAGGCTGAGAAATGACTGCTCTGTGTGCCCTTGAAGGCCCCAGAGGGTTTAGAAAGCTAGATCCCAGGAAAACAAACCTACACACAAGACAACTGTTCCTTGGTATTTCCACTAATTCATACGGCATGAACATAAAGAAATATGTACAGGGAAAAAATAACACATGGAGAATAATTAACATAACTAGAAAAGATTATGAGATCAATTTATTCAGTGAGAATATTCGACAGCAACTGTGTATGTAGGGTTTGATTGAAAAGTACCAGTTGACTTCTGTGAAATGAGGGACATGGACCAGACATTTGCTAAGATATTTTCATGTAGATACAGAAAGCAGGCTTTTTGAGAAAATATATACCCTTATGGTGTAATTCCCAGCTGTGCAAAAGAAGTTGCCGCATGAAAATTATCACATGGGTAGACATATTCTTTCCCCCTCTGACCATGCCTGTCTGCGATTTCATTAATTGACAACTGCAATATTGAAGTAAACAGTCTGCTGCTTCTTTAAACACCTGGCAGGGATAACATGGGGATGCTCTAGAGTGAGCACTCTCACCTTTGGAAACACACTGCTGTTACTTGTGATAATTATTTCATCACCATAACAAGGCTGAGAACTTTCTGTTCCTATTTCACAGAGCAGTCAACTAAGGTCAATGACTCCTGGCTCATAGTTCTTTTCATCACATCATCTTTAGTCAGGTGAATAAACAACTATTAATGTGTTTACTTTGGAAGAGATATGACTGTAAATAAATATCCTCTACATGTTAGGATATGTTTTTCTTATGATTGGAACTCAGCTATATTCCTGATGGCACCTGGGAATTAGTCAAAGGTGAAGCCTGTTCAGGTATTATTGATAAGAGGGCTTTAAGCAAGTGAATAACTGCACAACTAAAACCACATTGGAACTGTTGGCTTGTAAGTGTTCTTATCACTGAAACACAATGAACATTTTATTGAAAATAACCACACACAGCAATTGGGAGTGGGACAGAAATAAAATGCTCATCCCACAATGACCTGGGCCACCTGTCCGCCATATATCTGTCTACCCTTGAGAGTCAGCTGTTTAATTCTCGGGCAAACAGATAGCTAAACACATCAGCAAATTGGAATGACTGGCCTAAAGATTATTATTTCTTGAAGAAAGGTGATGCTTTAGTTTTTGGATTGTAGCCAGCCCAGTTAGTCAAAAGCTATATACTTTTCACAGTAAGAAAACTATTCCAATTAGTCAAATTTCTCATATCCATTGTGATACAAAGCATAAGAATGGTAAATTGCTTTGAGATATATTATTGAACTTCTGTATGGATGTGACTGAATCTGAAAGTTTGGGCATTGGCTTCAGCCAGAATAAAGAAGCCAAATAATGAAAATTATGGAAGATCATTCTGCTACCTATGTCCCAAGTTGGATGAGCAGACCACTTTAGATCAATTTGCAGCATCAACCACAAATGAACCAATTGTCTTCTCTATATTTGTTTCACATGACATGGCTTGGGTGGTAAAAGTGAATTGTCAGATTCATAGTTGCAGAAGGCAAATAAAAGATGTTTAATTGGCTGAAAACTTTTTTTTAAAGGACTGCATTCTTATCTGTTTATAGTGGCATAGAAACAAAACTTGTCTACAGTTTTCTTGACTAAAATACATTAGATGTATACTTTTTCAATTCCTGACATTTTTGGTGGCAGTTTTAAAAATACTTGGCATAAATTAAGAGGAGGTGGCTGAGCATAATTGTTTAAACCAGTTCTAGAAATTTTAAAGTCATTTTAGTAGAATTCAGTGCTATTGTCACTGCAATAAGTGGGTTTTAGAAAACACATGTGAAAAAATCAGGTGTTAATATAATACTAAGGATAAGGCTTTAGAAGCTATTTTACTACATAGATAAAGAAAAGATAAACTAACTTGTAACAAAGACTACAACTGCATGTTGGATTAGATTGTCACATATTTCAGAATAAAATATACTGTATACTTTTCCTTACTTTGTTGTGCACTGTAATGAAATGTGAAAATGCTTTATTTAGCTGTATGTGAATGAAAATATGCCTGTATTTAGTAAAATGGTTGATTATGTAACTGAAAGATTCAAAGTGTGTGTTGTAGCTATTTCCAGAATGTCACTTTATTGTAGCAACCAATACCAAGGGTATCAATAAGATACATAAACTACTATGCATAATACTCACCAGATTCTTAAAGACAGAAAGAGAATAGATTTTTGAAATTTAAATGGCCATTATACCAAAAGTCACAGAAATTTCACTACTTCCTGGTTAGGATAGTCCATGCCAATTTGGGAGAAGTTAGTTTTGTGAAACCTAAACCACCACAATTGCAATCTTTAATCAAGGATCTTAATTCTATTACCAGGTAATTGATTACTATTGTAACCCTTGGAAAGTCTTCTTTTCTCCAGACTAAACTGTCTCAGATCTTTCAATTCCTACTACAATACACTTTGCACCTCAGGGTCTCTTTGAAGTATGGGACCCAGATGGCACACAGTAGTTCAGCAAGTTTCCTGGGGTGGGTAGTAGAAACAAAGAAAGATCACTGACTCTGAGTCTGTTCTGGATTGCTATGAATAAAAGGAAGGGAGGAGGGAATGTCCTTAAAACACTCCCTCCAGCTTTTCTCTTTGCCCTCGGCTCAAGATTCTTGTAAGCAACTGCCTACCTGACATCTCTATTTCAGTGTCTGTTGCTCCCAAACAGAATCCCACTCTCCCAGTCTTTGTCCCCAAATCTATTCCTTCTACAGCCTTCCTATCTTCAGTAAATGACAATTTGTTCTTCCATGTATGTCAGCCAAAATCTTGGAATCATCCTTGACTCTGGTTTCATAATGCTCATTTGATCTATCTGGGAATTACTTTAAAAAGTGTAGCCATTGTGCAACAGCTTTTAATCATTTCACTAAAAAACACCTGTTGCCTAAGCTATTGTGATAGACCCCCTGCTGCCATTCTTGTAACCCCTCCTCCTGCAGCTTATTCTCCACAAAAGCCAGAAACAATCATCTCATAATTCCCCAGTGATTATTCATTTTATTTATCAGTGGCCTGCAGAAGAATTCTTAAAATGAATTCTGTCTCTTTATAAACTTGTTTCTTACAGCTGCCCCTGGTTCATTTCACTGCAGTTACAGGGGTTCATTTTCATTTTTTTGTACTTATTCCTCCATCTGTCTGGAATTCTCTTTCCCTAGATGTGTGCATGGATTGGTACTTTGCCTCCACCAATTTCTTACCCCAGGCTAACTGTCAGCAGTGACTTCTGGGGTAAGACAGGGTTCCAGAAGTCATTGCTGATGGTTAAACATAGACTCTTACTCTTCACTTTTCCCTAAGGAACAACAAAGTTTACAGCATACAAAAAAGGAAGGGAAACTCAGAAGGAGATCACGCAAATCTTGCAGAGTACAGTCTCACAAGGAGGAACGAACAACAGTATCACAGTGCAGTGATGAGTTCAGAGGAGAGTCATGAGTGACCCTAGTGTCAGGAACAATTTCTGCTTGCCCCAAGCCCCTTAGGAAGCTGGTGTTCTTACTTCTTCCAGAGGCCCAATTCTCTTCTCACTCTTTCTTCTCTCCTCTCCCTATACCATCTTAACTACTTCCATAACTGCTTTTACTAAATTGCTGAATTGCAAATGAAGGTTTCCAGCCCATTTTCTGAGCACGAGACCAATACAGTCGATTTGACAACTAAACACATTACAAATTCCTTAAATTCAACACATCCAATAGTAAAATCAGTATCCATCAAAATATGCTCCGTGTATCCCACTCTTCCTCATTTCCATAAATGGCATCATAATTCACTACCTTTCTCAACATAGAAATTTAGACATTCTGTAGGGCCATGCCACTCATGGCCCTTACCACTCATATCAAATCCATCATCAGGTACCATCAATCTTATCTTAAAAATATACCTTTCAGTTTTCTCCATTTCCTTCTATCACATTTTTCCATACCATTATCAACTCTTACTGAATTACTTTGATATCTTTCCAACCTGTCTCCCTACTTTTGCCTTTGTTCTCACCTTTATGAGTCATTCTCCACATACTAGCCAGAACAATCTTTCACAGTATAAATCTGATCAAATCATTCTGCTCAAGACCTACTGATGGTTTCTCATCAGAATTAGAATAAAGCCCAAATAAACCATATATTTCTTAGCATAACCACAAAGCCCTGTATGATCTGGATTTTTCAATTCTGAGTTCTAAAAATGAATCTTAAAAATCATTCAAATAAATCCTTAAAAAAGGGAATCTTAAACATATTGTTCACTAGTATTTTGTCAACCTGTAGCAGAGATACGTACTTGTATAATCAATAAATACTTGTATGAATGCTTATTTTCTCATCCTACCTTAATCCAATGACCTTGACTCACTTCACTTTAGTGAAGTTACAGGCATGGCCCTGTCCTGAAGCATTGCCAAATTTTGTGCATCCTCTGGAACTCTCTGATTAAAAACTCTGGTTGCCCACTATTTCTTATGAGCCCCTTAAAAACTTTCTCTGGGACCTTTAGGAAGTTAGCCAGTGCCCATTCTATCCTTGACTCCATTTCTTCTTCTTCTTCTCGCTCTTACAGCCAAGTTCATTTACCTATCAGTTCCTAAAGAAAATAACTGAAAATTTCGTCTATTTATTTGCCTTGAGTTTTTAAACTAATTTTTTCAGAAGATTAACATGATGGTTAAGATATGAGTTTTAGAGTAAGCCAGACATGGATTCAAATGCTGAATTATTATTAACCCTATCAGCTAACATATGTGTGATTCAGTCTGAGTCTCAATTTACATGTATATAAAAAATTGGATAACAGTATTTTTCAACTCATGGTATTGTGATGATTAAATGAGATAATCCATATAAAGTACTTTGCATAGGCCTGGTATTTGGTAAACATAATAACCATAACAACAAAATGATAGGTTTTGTGTTTGTACCTAGATGAATATTTCACAAATAGCATCGTGGAATATAATGATGCTTCATAAACTTTGTGGAAAATGGAATTAAAAGAACTTTATTTTTAAAAGCATGAATTTTTTTTCATAAAGTTTGTTTTGCATGAAATTCTTGAAGACACCTCACATATTCTGCTGTTAACCGTTTCAACATACTTCATATAAATGTCTGAGGACAGGGTTCTGCATGTTTGGTAATCACCATATTTCAGCAGTCAGTCAGCACCTTTACAGAAGTGGTAAACATGACTAGGAGCGGAACCAGTGGACATACTGAACATGGCAGAGCAGAGACAGAAAAAACCAGGTTCCATGATGACATCATTGAGCTATAGTTAAACTAGCCTGGAACTACTCCGTATTGAGCCATTATACATGAGGTAATAAGTCCCCTTTTAATTGTGCTCATTTCCCCTACTTAGAGAGTAGCCCAAATGATAGAATAGCACTTCCCTACATGGACACATAATGTGTTATTTCATCAGTTTTCATTAGATTGTATAACTTTTTGGTTTGTTTACAAAACAATTTCAGTATGTATATTTATATCTTTGTGTGTGTTGGTCAATTATATCAAGTCAAAATTCTAGAAGAATAATTTATGAATCAAAGAATCTAAGTACATTTAAATCTCAATGAGTGATCAGTTTGTTCTTCAGGACATTTCACTAAACTGTCACAGTGTATGAGAATATCTACACTGAGTATACACGTCAACTTTTTTTCCTTTTTAAGAGATTGTGGGTTTGGCTTTTTTAAAAAATATTTTTGTAGTTTTATTGGAAAGGCAGATCTAGAAAAGATCTTCTGTCCACTGATTCACTCCGCTAAGTGGCCGTAGCAGCCAGAGTTGAGTAAATCTGAACTAAAACCAGCAGCCAGGAGCCTCTTCCGGGTATCCCATATGGGTGCAGGGTCCCAAGGCTTTGGGCCGTCCTCGACTACTTTCCCAGGTCACAAGCAGGGAGCTGGATGGGAAGTGCAGCTGCTGGGAATAGAATTGGCACTCATATGGGATCCTGGCACTTGCAAGATGAGGATTTAGCCACTGCGCCATCATGCTGGGCCACACTGTCAATTTTTTATTTATTTTAAAAATAGGTCGTTATTTCTTATTGCAGAATTTCTATATGCTGACTCACTCCTAAAATGGGTCTGGGCCAAAGCTGGGAGCCAGGAACACAATGTAGGTGACAAGAACACAATACTTGAGCCATCAGCACTGCCTCCTAAGGTCTGTATTGGCAGAAAGCTGGAGTCGAGAGCCAGAACCAGGTGTTGAATCCAGATACTGTGATACAGGCTGTGACTGGCTTAGCTGTGGTCTTGACTACTATACCAAATACCTGCCCCTATTAACAACTTAAAATGTGTGTATCTTTGGTTATTGATGTTCTGTTCAGTGCAGCTGCAAGTAGTCCTCACTAATAAAAGATAGTGGCCAATTTTTTATCTTTTAATAGAATTTATAAATATTAGCTTCTCAGGGTCACAGGCAGAAAATGCATGATAATTATTAGAACACAAGTCTCATGTTAATGTGACTTCTTAATTATTAGTAAAACCCCTTTATATTTGAAAATCAGGTATATATCTTAATTTTTTTATCCTAATCATGTTCCTAGAATCCCAATCATGTTCAAACATAATTTCAGGACTTCTTGCTATTTTTGACTTTCTGGTGTTCAGCAATACAGAAGTCACTAATATTTAAGTGATCAAATAAATTGTCAACAAGCAACTGAATATAATCTTTGTCCATTGGATAACATTTTGATTTTTCTAGCAGGATCATTATATTATCTTTCTTGTAAACTGTGTCTTAATATTTTGCAGCAAATGTATTTGGCTTAGATGCTCATTCCCTCAGCTTACATGACAAAATAAGCCTCACTTTCTGGAGCATCTTCAGT